GCATGTGTGCATGTGCACACGTGCGTACACACACACACACACACACACAGGCATCCTGGAGGAAAGGGATTTTATTCAAATACAACCACATGAACTGCCTGTACAGCCTAGACTCAGGATCGCCCTGAGGGAGCTGGCATGGGAGGTTTCAGAGCTGGGCAGACTGGACGAGGACCCCTCTTCTGTGTTTACTGAGGGTCACTTAGCCTCTTTGAGCCTCCGTTCTCCATAGGTGAAAGGAGTGTATCATATCTGCCTTGCAGCAGTGTTGTGGGACTCAGAGAGAATGTCCGTAACATCCATGCCCAGTGTAGAGTAGGAGCTGGGAAATAATACCCACTACTGTGATTTTGTGAGGTGTTCCAGATAACTGCTCAGGTCTTTAAGAAAATTCCTTGGGCTTCATACTCCACTCCTAGCGGTGGAAGCAAAGCAACCAGAATGAGAATGCAGGAAGCATGGGGTGGCCAGCTGCCAGTTCTCCCTTTTGTATGCCTATCTCTGCAAACAAACCCACCAACGGCTAGATTGCCCATGATAACAAGCCAGCCTCCACTCAGAGCTCACTGTGCAATGACTGTGTGGAAGACATTTGTGATTTTTTTTGCTGTCACCACCAACTATCTACCCTTCCTGTTACCACCGCAGTCTTCCTTCAGGGGATGCCTCACTACGCATAGATGTGGGAGATAGGCCGGAAGTCTAATGGAGGGTCTACCTTTCCCCAAGGGGCAGGCGAGTCATCTAAACAGGGGTCATCACTCTCTTCCCTCTCTCTGGGATTTTAAATAAGTGACATCCCAATATGGGGACAATTGAGGTCATATCTGTCACTGTGGCAGCCACATCATGTGGCCCAGGCTGTTGCCACGTTTCCATTCCTGTGGTTCTTGATGGTTTTCTTACCTTTGCTTGCCGCTCTATTTTAAGTCAGTCAGCCCCCAGTATTGTTCCGCCAGATTGACATTTTGTTCAGCATAGCCTGATTCGGTTTCTGTCTTTTGCAACAGGAGCACTGTCTGATACAACCACAATCCAAGAGGAAAATAGAAAAAGGGAGCTCATACCACTTCAAAAGATTTCTCTTTACTGTGGTCATCATCCAGGGCTTGGGAGAAAGTGAAATCTTAAAAGATACCAGTATGCCAGGTGCAGTGGCTGACGCCTGTAATCCCAGCACTTTGGGAAGCTGAGGGGGGTGCATCACCTGGGGTCAGGAGCTCGAGACCAGCCTGGCCAATATGGTGAAACCCAGTCTCTACTAAAAATACAAACATGAGCCGGGCGTGATGGTGGGTGTCTGTAATCCCAGCTCCTTAGGAGGCTGAGGCAGGAAAATCACTTGAACCCAGCAGGCAGAGGTTACAGTGAGCTGAGATCGTGCCACTGCACTCCAGCCTGGGTAACAGAGCAAGACTCTGTCTCAAAAAAAAAAAAAAAGTGTCCCACTAAATGGGACACAACAACTGAGTTGCAGTTATGCACCATCCCATTAGAGAGGATCTGGGGGTAGAATGCCTTTCTGTTTGCCAATTTATCATCAAAGGGGCGAGAGGTTGAAGAGGCGGAAGGGGAGTGGTGAATATCAACTTATACAACCACCACTCAAACACAAACTCTTTGCATCCTTTTAGGAGAACTTGAAACAATTTCAATTTTCAGGATGGGGAAAAGTAAAAGCCCTATTTGCCCTTTCTCTCTTCTTTATCCGTGGTCTCCACATTGCTCCTTGGCCCTGAGAAAGCTGCCACAAAGCGTTTTACTAGTTATCTGATTGTCATTCTATTTAACATGTCCCCTGGTCTGCTGGCTGATGGTAGTTTAAGCAGGATCTAATTGGTAACATATTGCCAATTGAATTAAGTGCCATATGATAGAGATTTAAACCATGGTAATTTTTCCATAAAGAAAAAATCTGTCAACAGGCTATAGTCAAGGAACAGCAATAAATCAAATTGTCATGTTTATTAGTTATTGCAGGAGTCTAGTTGTCTTGTATTCATTATAACCCCCCATTTTTAGCGCAGATAAAAGCTATAAAGAGGAATATCTGTGCAAGACGCTTTTTAATAGGTTTATATTTGGACACAAACACCTGCTTGTATTTTAATGATGAGAACAATGGTGCCATTTCACTTTGAAAGGAGCATGTATTTTTGGCTGTTTTCTGGATGAAGAACAATGTTTTTAGTTTTTGGCAAAGCTATGTTTTAAAACATTGAGAATCAACTCACTAATAACCAAAAAAAAAAAAGGCAAATGAAAGCAGAAATGAGATATGACTTGTTTGTCACACTTGGAAATACTAAAAGAAGAGATAGGATGATTGCACTAAAGGATTTCTAGAACAGTCATTGTAATTTAACTTGTAATATTCAAAAACTGGAAATCAACTACATTTTCATATATGGGAACGGTTGCACAAATTATGGAACATCAGTTCCAGAGAGTGCAAATGGGTCATTTGAAAGAACAAGTTAAATCATACCTAATGGCATGTCATTAAGAACCAACATTATTTATACTTTTCCTTTCCATTTAACTTGCCTTTACCGAAGGTAGATTTCAACACGTTTTCCTTACATGACTCGGAAATAATATAACAGCATTTTACATATGTAGACTCATTGAGCCCTCATAAAACCCTGTGAACTCTGTAGGACAGGACATTACAGGACACTTCACAGAAAAAGACGTGGAAGTGCAGAAGAGAAAAGTTATTTACGGAAGGATCCATAGCTGTCAACCTTGATAGGCAGGACGTCAGACTACGGGTCCTTCCTCTGAGTAGTGGTGCAGAAAAGATGGTTGGAATTTGGAAACCAGCATCCAGCTCCTCACCATGCCTTCAACTTTCACTGTGACTTTGAACTTGTTTCTTAAACTCTGAAACTGGACATCCTCACTGGTCATGTTTTGTTACTACTTGCTTTGTATTCTGGGTGTGACACGTGGGGGATTGGGACACAGGATCTGGAGATGGCCAGATCCCAACGCTGCTATTTCCCAGCTCTGCACTCTTAGGCTACCTACCAGTCTCTCCTCTAAAATAAGCATAATCGCAATGGCTCAGATACAATAACGAAATGTGTGTAAAATGCCGAGCGCCATGTCTCACACCTGAGAGGCACTGAACGCATATGATGTACTATCATTTGGATGTCACCGTCCCATGTGCCTATTTCCTGGTTTGCTGTACAAGATGTGTATGAGTACATGTGATTGAGCCCCCAGAGCTCCAGAGCAGGTTCCTCTCACAAGCAGGCCTCGTAGGGAGGGGTGTTCTGTGCTTTTCCTCTTTCCTGCTCACTACTTGTCTGTAGCTGCAGTGTAAGGACTGTAATGTCACTGCTCTGGCCTTAAGTGTCACCTCCCAAACCCATTTTACACACACCATCTCCCACCTTCCACCTTTCCCAAACTTTTACCATGTCCCTTCGAGTTTGATGGCTTAATTGTACAAAAGATAGTGATGATGATAATGATGATGATGACAATGATAACAGCTGTTAATACCAATGATAACAGCTGCTAATACTTACTGAGCCCTTTCAATGTGCCAGGCACTCTTCTAAGCACTTTGAATGTATTAGCTTATTTAATTCTTACTTAAGAGGAAGGACTACTGTCTACTATTGTACTTGTGTTACAGATGTGGGAACTCTGATGCAGAGATGTATAGTGACTTGCCCAAAACCATCATGTTAGAGTGGGGATTTAAACCTCGAAATCTAGAAAATAAGCAATGTATATATTTTTCTATTTTCTGAATGCAAATCAAATATAAATATGCATAACACAACTAAACACTAAGTGAAGTCACGCCTAGAACAAGGGAATAGCAGTTGACAGAAACACAACCAAAACTAAGAATACTGGATGTCTGTATTACTTTCACTGCAATCATTTCACTTCAACAGTGAGTTGGGACAGCCCTAGGTAAAAAGGCTCTCTTGTAGTTAGAACATTCTTAAATTCTGCACCAAGGAACACATACTTTTAATAATGGCAGAGACAATATTTTTGGAGGATTATTTAGTTTGCACGATCAACATTCAAAGAATGAGTTTACCACCACTTTGTTATTGTAAACACTTGGATTTTAGCTACCTGAATGATCCCCCCTTTGAATAAAAGGAATATGAAATGCATGTGTAGACATTATTTCATTTTTATATTTGTGAGACCTGAATAGCAAGGAAATCACATATTAGGAAATAAAAAACCCTTCGTCTTACAATTAGTTCTCTTTGGTTTCAAAATTCTGGTCACTGTGTATATTGCATTATACCATATGTGTGTGTATATGTATATACACACATAAACACACATACACACAATGTAATGTGTATAAATACATGATGTGTGTATTCACACACACATACATAAATACACACATATACAATGTTCCATCCAAGGATTACAAAGATAGTGCTGTTAGCCCCTAACAGTGAGGAGGTCATTATTCCAAGTCATTTCTGCAGGAGTGACGGTGGCCTTAGGTGGAACCGCCCATGCTCTCTCCTTGTGAGCTCACTCACTGGGGCCGTTGACTGGGGTCCAGTCTGTGGCCATGTCATGGTTTCTTTTTCTGAGGTTATAGCTAATGGGCCACATGAGGTTAAAACACACTTTTCATAAGGCCCCAGCAAGCATCATACATGTGTGTATGAGCATGTTCATACCCAGGTTATGTCTTCTTTATGTGCACCCTCCACCACACACACACACACACACACACACATGCACACACACACACTCTCACCGCTTCAGTGACCGACTTTGGTCACATCCCATCTCTTCCTTTTCAATCCCTCCGACTGTTCACCAGGGCCTGGACCATCTCGGTGAGGCTGACCAAGAATGCTCCCCACTGCCCTGCCCAGTGGAGCATGGGCACAGCTACTTGAAGTGCCACCCTTCAGGGCACAAAGTGGGGGCTACCTCTCTTCCACGCAAGGCATCCCAGAGGGCCCACATGCCCTCCAGTTTGACCTTACCTCTCAGCTCCCGTTCCTTTTCTTTCTCTCCCCAGTAAATCGTTGAACGTCTTTCTTCTGAGGCTGAGCGTGGAGCTGTCTTCTCGCTGGCGAGCTTTCTGAATGGCACTTTCTGTACAAACAGGAAGAGCATGTGTGGTCACAACCCAAGTGTGCAGGTGTTGATAGAGGATGTGAAAGTGTGGAGGCGAGTGACTAAACCAGATACCCAACCGGCCAACTCTCACTTGTGGCAGGGCCTGGTCCAGAAGGCTGGAAGCAGGAACCTGGACTCACTCTGGGGAGACCAATTGACAAAAGTAGAGGACGGTGGCCATGGAGGCCAAGGGAGAAGGCCCTTTGACTCCACTGCTTTCTAACCCTATGCGGACCCCATAAAAGAATCCCAGGAACATTTTGGAATCTCTTAGATATATGATTACCGGGAATGTTGATTTCAATGGGCTGCTTAACTTGTCCAAAGCTCTGCTGGTTTACTGGGCTGTCTGGGCATCCAAGAGATCAGGACCAAAGGCTCATCCTGCCTCAGGACTGTGACAAGTCTTCCAGACCTTTCTAGAACAAAGCCACACCAGGAAAGAAGAGTCTCAGGTGAGGAATCAGATGTCCCAAGGCCGCTCTACATGACCTACGTGACGGGTGTTACCTCCTCATCTCCCAATCAGTCAACCCACAGGAGCTGGGCTTCCTGCCCCACATCCGTCCCTCTCCCCATTCATGCCTGCAATTATTCTCACTAATGACACCAGGGATTCACCAATGGATGCTTTTTCAGTTCCTGTCTTATTTGCCTCCCCTGCAGTGTTTGACTTCCCTGTAGTGTTGACCATTTCTTTCCTCCCAGAACTTCTGCCTGGGCCGCCATGACTCCATACTCTCCTGGTTTTTGCCAGGTGGTCTCTCACACTGGCAGGTTTCCATTCTTTGGTCTTAATTTTCGCCCTCCCACGAGCTCCACTCTCCACCTCGTGGTTCCTGTTCTCCATGGGTGGCCTCTCCTCAACTCCAGATGCAACTTGCCAAGCCCACATCCATAGCGTCACACGTTTCTGCTGTTCTCCTGGAACATCCCCCAGCACCTCCTGACGGACTGGCCGCAGTGAAACCCTGCTCTGTCCTCTGCCCCCCTCATTGCTTACCATGTGGCCTGTGAACTCCCTCCTGCCTGGTCCCGGCTTGCTCCTTGGGTCTCTACCCCGTTCTGAGTTTACCACCTTCTGACCTCTCGCTTTGCCTCTGCTAATCTGGTTTCTTCAGGTTTGATCCTCCGTTATCCTCATCCAAACAGGCCCGTCCTTATCCTGAGACTGGATACCTAGACACTTCCCCACCCAATCCTATCCCAAGCCCTGGCAAATTATCCCAGTGCTGGCTGCTTTATGTCCCTGGTAAGGGGAAAACCTTTCTTTGTCTTATACCCAAACCAGAAATGGGGAGGCTTCCCACATTCTTCTCTTTCCTGAATACTCTTCAACCTTCCATCACCAAGCCCTGCCCATTCTACCTCTTCAGTCACTCCTCAGATCCTTTTTCTCGTCTCCGTCTCCACAGCCACACCCTCCTTCCATCGCCTCTCATCACTGCCCTAATCCCCAAGGGGCACGTGCACCCAGGGCACACCAGACCGTTCACTGAAGGATGAGAAGACAGGACTTGAATGTCTATCTACCCACACTTGTCTGGTTTTTGTATTTAATTAAGACTCACATGCCATAAAATGAGCCATTTTAAGATGGGGAATCCTGTGGCATTGAGTACACTCACAATGTTGTGCAGCCACCACCTCCATCGAGTTCCCAGACTTACATCTATTTTTACGTCATGTTTTTAGTGTTTACATTTTGTGTATGTTTCAAGGCATGCAATGTGTGAATACAGTTGTATTGTATATCATTTGTGAATAATCATACATCTGCTCAGAATAGGCGGCAAAGACTTTTTTGCTGAAGAGGATACAAAATTAGAAAAGTGGGGACACGTGACCTCCTAACTCATCTCCCACATGTCAGGCTCTAGAGTGTTTTCCAAACTGCCTCCAAATTTTCTCTGCAAAAGACTACAAAAATGATGACAGTACACTCCCCTCACCCGACGACCAGTCCTTAAACCCTTCAATGGCTCCGTCCGTCACCCACAGGAAAATCCCTAGGCTCCATGGCTGGGCAAGCGAGATGTTGGATTCAGTGGCCTCTGCCCACTGCCCAACACTATCTCTTGTCATCCTTGATACCACTTTCTTCCTCACCACCCAACAATCCCACCACCACTCATGGTTTCTTGAGCTTTCAGCTGCTTTAGGTCACAGCTTTGCCCATGCTCTTTCCTCTTTCAGGGTGCCTTCACTTCCGTCGGCCATCTGGCAGATCCCCACGGGTATTAAAAACCCTTCCGTCCTGCTCCTCTCAGAGCAGAATTCCTCACCTGTGCAGGCTGAAGCCATTGCCTTCATGTTAGATGATACTATGGGCAATCTGACAGTCAGGAGGATGGGCTCTGCCTCCAGAAAGACCTGGGTTTGGGTTCAGCCTCTATCATTTATTAGCAAGGGTACCTTGGGGATGTTAGGTTCAGCTTCCTCGTCTATACAGTACCCACTCACAGAGTGACAGTAGAAATTAAACAACGTAGTGTGTATGCAGGATGTCATAAGTATTCAGTAAGTGGTGGGGATTATCACGATGGTTATTCTGTTTGTTTACCTCACTATTCTGTAAACAGCTTGTAAAATTTATAAATTTCATACCAAGGAGAGCTACTGCTTCTAAGGCAGAATGTCTTCATTTTAATTAAAAGGTTGGCCAGGATTGGTGGCTCACTCATGTAATCCCAGTGCTTTGGGAGGCTGAGGCAGGAGGATTGCTTGAGGCTAGGAGTTCGAGACCAACCTAGGCAACATAGTGAGACACTGCACAAAAAAATTAAAAATTAAACAAAAAATAGCTAGGTGGTTAGACGTGGTGGCTCGTGCCTGTAATCTCAGCACTTTGGGAGGCTGAGGTGGGCAGATTGCTTGAGGTCAGGAGTTTGAGATCAGCCTGACCAACATGGTGAACCTGACTAACGTGGTGAAATCCTGTCTCTCCCGAAAATACAAAAATTAACCAGGCATGGTAGCACACACCTGTAATCCCAGCTACTCGGGAAGTTGAGGTAGGAGAATCGCTGGAGCCTGGGAGGTGGAGGTTGCAGTGAGCCAAGATCACGCTGCTACACTTCAGTCAGGGTGACAGAGCGAGACGCCATCTCAAAAAAA